CTTCACTTGCATTGTTATGCTTGTTTTTATCGCATTATTATGCATTACACTCAACCCGCGTTGTCTCGCACCCTTAGGTTGCATTGTCTTGCATCCCTTCCGCGCTGTTATGCGTCACCCTTAGGTTGCATTGTCTTGCACCCCTTTTCGCGTTGTCTCGCACCTTTAGGTTGCATTGTCATGCACCCATCCACTTGCATTGTCACGCGCTTTTCACTTGCATTGTTATACATGTTTCTAACGATATTGTACCTGTTGAGTTTCTTTCTTTTGCAGGCACGATATTGTATGTACGATTCATTTGAAGCTAGCGCAACCAGACGAACCGGATGGTATTGTATGTACTTCATGTGAGATGTAGCGAGAATTGTATAATTCTCTTACATCCTTGCAGCATATAATGTAGTTTATTTTGTATTCACTTGCTTAAAACTGTTGCATTTATTGTGTAGATTTGCTTCATTACAGCTCTCTTTGCATGATCGTAAGTTATGTTTGGCATTGTGCATGTCACTTGCATCTTGCCCCTGCCTGCGGGCGCATATCTTTATTATCTTGTATGCTTCTCTAAGTCTTCGGCCTTGCCAAAAATGGGTTATCTCTAGGCTTTGACATTCACTCCCGTCATTTTATGACTTTTGAGTTCTGTCAAAGAGGGGCAACTGTAGACACCCCATCTTTGAGAGTCCTCAAGACTTGGATGTCATCGTTTGAACACTCGATGATCATCCATACTCGTGTTCGTTTTGAGTTCCCGGAGGTCTCAACCGCGCGCCTTGCCTTAGGATCTCTCAACTTGTCTGTTTTGTGCTTGGTTGTGGACCAAACACTTGTGTTTTTGCTTCTGAGGAAAGAGGGTGGCTTGTTGGCCATCCCCCCAACCCATCGGCCAAGGCATGATGCCATCGGCCTTATGTTCTTGCCATCGGCCAAAAGTGTTGGCCGATCGGCACTCTTTTTGGTCGGTCGGCACTTATGTTGGTCGATCGGCCATATTTTTTAGCCAAGACCTTTCCATCTGCTTTTTGTAGATATTTTCTGCTAGCTGTGACAGCTGGTGTCCACAATTCACATCCTCCATACACGTGTATGGAGGGATTTGTTTCAAGACTCAAGCTTGCTCAACAAGCTTGAGAATTGGAATTCTATAAGAAGGGAGCCCCTCCTCCCTTCTCAGGGGTTCAGAAGATGGAGTCTTGAGAGATAGATATACATTTGTATCTATATCTCCTTGTTGATCCTTGTTTTGTGCTCTAAAGTGTCTTTTTGTCTTACTATTGCACACAAACACCTAGTAGAACACCATCCTTTGGTTGCTGAGGTCCTTAGGAGTTGTTTTTAGTGTTCTTGAGCTGGTTTTGGCCAGAGGAGGCTGCTGGAGTAGTGTTCTTGAAGGTGTTCTTCAAGGGTGAGCTTATTGCTTTTAAACCCCATTCTTACTTAAGCTTTTAGACTTTTTTGCATATTGTTTTAAGCTTAGCTCTAAACTAAAAAAAGTTATGATTTTGCATGCTTGAGACCTTTATTTAAGGTCACTTTTTGGTTTGGGGTTGTTTACCCCCTCCTTAGGCCTTGTTTGGCCTTGTTTTTGTGCCTTCTTTGTAAGCTTCGGAATCACCTTGTTTTAGCCTTCTCACCACAGTGGTGGGGATGGTGTTTTAAGGTCCCAAAAATGAGAGGGTCATTCCCTCTCCTTGTGTCTTCAATACTTGCCTTGAATGCCTCAAGTGTAAGCATGTTTGTTAGGCTTGTTTTAGATTGTATATTAGCATGTATTTGTGGTTATTTTGCTGAGGCTTATCCCTGTTTTTGCTTGGATTGATCATTCCATGCATGGTTTATATACTTGTAGTGTAAATCACACACACTAGTCTTGTATGCTTCATGAAGTAGCATGTCATTCTGACCTATGTTGTGCCCATTTCAGCATGTATTTGGTGTTGTCTTACCATGTCATACCTCTATTTAGGTTTGGTTTGGTTAGCCTTTGCATGCCTCATGCACTTGTAGTGCATTTCCATAAAATTGCCTTAACATGCTTTGTGCTTTAGGCCATATTTTTAGCATGATTTTGGCTTGACCCAAAGAAGCTTTTAGCCTTGTTTTACCACGCTTAAGGTCTGTTTGGTGTTGTTTTGGTCATGCTTGCATCGTTTTGTATAGCCATGGTTCAACCTAGCTTGTTGGCTTTGAGTGTCCAAGTCATTAGCATGCATTGCTAGGACTATTCTTATGATTTGGCATCATTCCATATGTGTTTTCAGTCCATGTTTCATGCTCATATACTTGCATTATCACTCCTTTAATGCTTTAAAGAGTTGATGTTTTTATGCCTCATGAATGGATCATTGTGCATGCCTCCATGCTTAGGTCTTTGGGATGCCATCTAAGTGGGTTTTTGGTCTTGTTTTACCATGCCATAACTCTGTTTTTCATTGGTTAAGTCATGCCATGTTTGGTTTTGATAGGTGTAGTATAACACCTCTTTTGTAGCCTTGCATGCCTCATGCTTTTGGACTTTTGTCCTAGCTTGTATCGGCTAGGTTTAAGCTTGTTTTTGGCCCTATCTTGACCTGCCTTGGGACTGTTTTGGGTGCCCTTGGCCCTTTGGGGCTTTCCTTGCATAGCCATGGTTTGAGTCTCTTGGCTAGCCTTAAGCTTTAGGCTTTCTTGCATGCTATACTTGCTTTGTTTGGTTGATTTGGCATCATTCCTCACATATTTTCAGAGCTTATTACATTGCCAAATTCTCATGTTTGTCACACCTTGCTCATGTTTGAGAGTTGTGTCTTGTTGCCTAGCTTATGGGCCAATTGGCATGCATTTTTGTTTTGCATTTTGGTACCATCATTTTAGCACTTTTGGCCACTGATTTGGGCATGTTTGAGAGCTGTCCATTTTAGTTTAAGCCCATTTTCACATGTTGTTGCATGCTTGATTTGCATGTTGTTACATGCTAATTCCATTATATGTTGTTGCATGCTAATTTCATCGCATCATACTTGCATGTTTGCATAGCATTGTGTGTGCATGTCTTGCCTCTTGATCAAACATGATAGAGGTTGAGGTCTCTTATGTGATTTTGTGCATTCATCCCACATTGAATTGCGCACTTGGCTCCTTTGGCCATCATGCATTGGAATGCGTAATTGGTGGCCTGAGGGTCGAGAACTACACACCTTTGATCCTTAAACATGATAAAGGGTGTAGTTGCAAACATTTTCTTGCAAATGTATTGCCATACCTCTGTTTGTCCACTACTACAACAAAACAGCATTTTGTAGGAAAAGATGGCCAATCGACTATCTGGTGGGCCGATCGGCTAAAAGTTTTTGGCCGATGACCTCATAAATGGTCAATGTCACCTTTCCTTTGGCCGATGGCTTCACCATTTGGTCAATGGCCTCTCAGCATGTCCATGAAGTGGTTCTAGAGCATCACAGGACTTTTCACAGTTTTCAGAGGTGCAAAACAGTGCAAACAGAGGCAACATGAGGCATGGCAACGGATTTCCGAGCGAAACCGACTGAGCATGCATTTGTCCCTCTTGTCGAGGCCGCTTTATTGTTTTTGTAGCTTAATTAATTTGTTTAATTAGTTAAAAGTGGTGTAATAATTAATTAGCTTGTTAGTTGATTAATTAGTCGATTTGTATTATTTTTTCGGACCCTCCGCCGAGAGGGCGAATTTTGTAATAAGTGTGCGTGAGTGTGTGAATGTCTTCCAATCCCACGTCTTTCTCCCTTTTACTTACTCACTTACGATGGCTAGTTTTAGGGTATATTTCATTTAGCATCCTTATGCTATGCATGTTTGCATCATTCATTTGTATTGCATGCACCGGGCTCGGCGCATCATACTAACTGCATTGTATTTCAATTCCTACTTGAATACATGTATCGAGTTGTCGCATCTCATATGCCATCTTAGAATAGCCGAGCCTATTTCTAGTTGCATTTTGCATGTGCCGCATTAGCCATCTTAACATGAACTAGGATCATGCATTGATTACTAGCTAGTTCTTTATTTTGGCTCGTAGTACACTGTAAGTGTTTATGCTTTAGCATCCTTGCATGTGTGTAAGTGTTGCCATGATAGCATGCTTGCCATAAGGCTATTTGCTTATGTGATATAACTGCCTGAATGCCTGTGGATGAAGGTTGGATTGCTTGAATTGGAACAATTCATTGAATCCTCGATTTAGCCTACTAGGGAGTAGCAAACTTCAAACCGTTTTTCAAATAACAAATATGCAATGCTTTGTTCCAAATTAAGCGATCTAGTCTATACTTGTGTGTTGTGCGCATCACATTGTAAATCTAGCTAATAATTGGAATAAGAACACATATGTTTTCAAAAATGAGATATCATGCTTAGTACAGGCCGATCTTTGATCGGGCGAGCGGGGGTGCTCATTGCATGACCTTCCCCTCTCGTACCCAAGTTCCTGAGCTGAGGCAACTTTGGTGATGATAGACACGTGGCCTAAGGCACGAGTCAGGGTTTCCTAAATTCCCCCAAAATAAAAAATATTTAGGTGGCGACTCTGTACTGGCAAAGCAATCCATGTTTGGTACTTCTTTACAAAAATCAGTTTTCCAAAACGATGTGCCGGATTTGGACTCTTTGGTGGTTTATCGGTCTTGCATTGCACTTTGTGAGATTAGATTTAGAACCGTGACATTGAGTCCGAACTGTAGTAGCTAGAGAACAAATGAGATTTCGTGCCTTTGCAAGCGCGGAGCTTCGGGAGTCCTCGGGGCGCGTCTACAGTTATCTTTGTTTTGTTTTGGGACATAATACCTAGTCATAAAAGTGAGTGGTGCAAGGCTCCCTCCATATGTTCCAACGCAAAGGCACTCTGTGCTATCATCTTATCGTTTCCCACACCTTTTACAAAGGTCTGGTGGAAAAATTATCAATAAAGAGGGTGTAGGGGACAGCAAATTCCAATTAAAATCTGACAGAGAAACTTGTATATTGAAAGGGACTCGGCTTACATATTTTGAGTGGTAAGGCAGTCCCAAGGTGAAATGTTTGATGGTGATTGCATTTAGCAAGTGCCCCCCAACATTTATTGTTGCCTGAGGATAAGAGGTACAATTTCATCTGTCAATGAATTCATATATCCATCTACACACATAAATATAGAGTACGTGTCTAAACATAAATATAAAGATGTCAATTTATAAACTAATTTAACTGTAACGACCATTGAACGTCCTTGGTTAGAATACAAAATAGTTTTATCATTACATGAACAAAATGATTGTCTGTCTAGAAATTACTTTCTGATCAGCATCCTTCACAAGTTCCTCTGCAAACTCATTAGGATGTTTCTTGCTCTGCAACCACATAAACAATAACAATTACAGGAAGCTTCCAATAGAAATTATCTAATAAGACCACAATTGCAGGTAAATAATTCCCAATCACACCAATAAAAGCAAATCAACCACCTAAACCACAGATATATTGTGGTCTGGACCAGTTTTATAATACCAAAAGTACATACTCAGTAATAAATAAAGCTAAGAATAAATCTAAAGGTAATTACTGTGTTCTTTTACCTAAAATAATGAAAATGCACGAAGATCATGTTAAGCATCAAAATTGGCGTTAAGACGATGAAAATCAAACTTGCTCAATTTTTAAGAAGAGTAGCAAATCCCCCATGACAAATTTCCACTAGTTATGCAAGCAAAAGACATTTGTGGTCAGTTTTGCCAATTTAAACTACAACTCAGATGATAAGTTGCGACTGAACCTTACCTGTGTCACAATGCCATAGAGTAGTAGGGTGCTATAACTGCAGAGTACTTGAACAAATACCCTAAAAAGTCGAAATGATAATGTTATTGGAATTTTAACAGTAAATAAACAGAATAAATACAAATCCCATAGCATCACAATAATTACACATCAAAATATCTGTAATAAAAAAAAATATCAAAGTGAAAATGGGGCAATGGTTCTCACCCTATAACGAGCCTGGGGATAATAAAACGGACATGTCCCATTATGTCGGAGTCAAAGCCATATTGCAACTACAAGCAATAAAAGCATATGAGATTAATATCCACATAGAAATTATTACTAGTTTACCAAAAGATGACAACCAGCGATAGCATATATCATCTTACCCATATCCAGAAGAAAAATGCTATCTCAAAAGCATTTTGGAACAGTATGAAATGTATTGGAAAAGGACAATGGGGGGCCGATGGAACCAAAAATGATTATCTGAAAGTTGCACTACTAATTCCCCTTCAATTGCAATGTGTTTCTCTGCAACCTCGTGACCTAACTAGGTGATTACATGCTCCAACTTAGTTCCCACAGCAAGTAGAAGCTGAATAGTAAATTTAAAAAAAAAAAAAAACAGAACGCTCATTCATCTGTATGCATCTCAAATGAAATTGCAATGAGAGCAAAAGACAAATTTTGCACAAGGATCGATCTTGGAATGAGATTTACAAAACCCATTCAGTAGTAAACACTTAGAATTGACTTGTATTTAAACAAAACGCTTTCAATGGAATACCCATTAGCCACTACAGCGTATTCTATGTGAAACCCACCAGCTATGGCAGAAAGAAAACATGTAGGATAAATACTTTCTTCAAAGTGTTACAAGCACAATAAACATGTTAATAAAACAGAATAAAAACACTCTACTTCCTTCCAAGTAAAGAACCTAAGCATTGAGTGGATCACAATAACCTCTTGTTAAACCTAAAACAAAGAAAAAAAGAAACTAATATCAAAGCAAAAAAGAAAATAGTTAAATCACTTGACAACATTCGGCAACGTAATTTAAAAAGACTCATAGTAACTTTATATAGTAACATACCATTAATGTTCAGCAACAAGAAGTCGACCACAAATATCCATAAATACCAACTGCAACAAGCCAAATTAGATATTAAACAAGATGCAGATTAAAAATAAAAAGATTTTTTGTTTTTTGTTTTTGAGACAATATCCCTAGATTACCCCTCCTAGCACTAGGTAGTGACAAACCAGCAGCCGCAAATGTTATCCTCTCTCTTTTCGAATTTTATTTTTGGCAATACACCCAGCAAACACAGAAGAATAAATAAGAAGCTGTACAATTTGCACAGGAAATCCTAGCTATAACTTGCCTTATACCAACGACTTTCTTAAAATCATCTTCCAAAGCACGGATCATATAGTTGTGAAAATTGAACTTTGGATTTCCCCTGCAATGTGTCTACACATGGAATAAATACAACATTAACACAAATGCCAGTGAAGTAACAATAAAAAAAATCTGGAAATTTAAAGTCAGATACTAACAGGAAATTGGATACTTACCATGACAAAACCAAGTCTCAGTACAATATAGTCTGATTTGATAACAGACCCATAAAATTGCTTTAAAAAGGAATGTTGAAAAGTTCAATAAAAATTGTGTTACAGGAATGACTTGCACATTTAGTCAAAATAATAGTCATTAGTAGTTTCAGATTATATAGCTTGTTCTATCATTCCCGATATAATTGAGACAAGTCCAATCTTCATTTCAAGTTTGTTAATCTTTCAAACAGAGCTTGAGCAACCCACTGTTCAGATCATTCAAAACTTGAATAGCAAGATAGTTTCCCCATCATTCTCCACCATGTTACTTTGTTGAAAACAAAAGGCAAAACATAAAAAAATGTATGAGCCTATTGTAAGTTAGCATACATATGTCTATGTTTTTCTATATGCGTGCATAAGAATAAGGGAATTCTACACGTAAAAGGACACAGCTTGTTTATCTGCTAAAAGGAAATCAATCTCCTCCGCCCTTTATTGAAATTACTATCAATGAAACCTTCTCAAAAAGCAAAAAAGCATGAAACCTCCACCATCTCTCTTTTCTCCTTTATCTTTTATGGCCAAGGCAACTTATATTTCCTCAATGTGTTACTCATTCCATTTTGTCCTCCATCAAAGTAGACATAGCAGTTAGATACTTACTTAGATTTTGTATTACAGTATCACCAAAAATAATAGTTTTGATATTTCCACTGGCATTTAGCATTTTTATATTGTGTCTTGAAATAAAAATTTATAAATGTTGGGCGGAAAATGGGGAGTAAATAATTAAAAACTCTATAGTCTCCTAAATCTATGAACCCTTTCACTTCTCCATTGAAAAAAATAATAAAATGAATAATTTTGTTTAAAAAAGCATATGCGATGCAAGTATGTTTTAGTTATAGAACACATTTAAGATATTTGAATGTCTTTTTTGTTCAAACTTCTAATAGCTTCATCTTGAACTAAAACTTTTAAATAGCTTTCAAATTCCAAGTCTGTGAAATCTATGTTTAATTATAAGCCTCTATAACACCTTTAAATACACTATTATGTTAAAGATAATGAAGGCAAAAAAATTGTATGGTGCATTATATGAGCAATGCGAAGAAAAAGGTCTGTCTTTTTGTGAATGAAAGAAACAACGTTTAAGTACTTTAACCTTTAACAAGTTAAAATCTTATTTTTCTTGGTGAGGGGAAGGCTGAGTTAGTACTTTCAGCATGACTTTCAAATCAAGCCAAAATGTGTTTATCAGATTCGGAGATGTGTTGGAGTCATCATTCCACTAACATACATTGTGATGTTCAAAAGAAGCAAAAATTGAAAAGAAAATAGGAACAAACCTTAGGCCCAAGAAATTGTTCATAGCCGATATCACAAGAGTATGGTGCCCCTGTCCTTGGTTTGATTCCTTTATATTGCTTTATGTATTTAGCTGGTTCTCTGTCATATTTATTGAACTCCTAAAATCATAGAAGAAAAAAGACTTATCATTAGAATAATGCTGGATTAAATATTTCAGATTCATATGAATATAAAATTCTGAAAACAAAATATTTTAAACATATTCATGCTCAGCACAGAGCATGAATTTGTTGACTAATAATTTTCCAAAGTAATGAAGATAGTAAACGACTACCTTGACCATATCGGAACTAGTGAAGATAATTTTCGAAAGTGACAGTTGTTCAAAGTTAAATTGACATTTTCAGCATATAAAAATAGATTACTGATGTTGGACAAGTGTGATGAACACTCTCTTACAGGCAAGAAATGCCAAAATAAGATTCCAAAAAAAAGGCAAAATAATGGACTAGAGAGAGACAAAGCAGATCTGATATTACCATGTTAGCAGATCGGGGGGACAATGAGAGAGAGAGAGAGAGAGAGAGAGAGAGAGAGAGAGAACAGATCTGATCAAAGAAAGAGCAGATCTGCATCTCTTCATCGTTGAGCTTCTACTCACTGTTTCCAATGATCCACATCCAACGCCACCTGCTTGTCCCTTACATGATCAGAGACACTAACACCGGACTCGAAACCCTAGATAAATCGATTCAGCATTGCTGCTACTCAATCCGATGAAAGAGAAGAGTTTTCCACACAAGGACTAGAAAGAATAAAGGAACAAAAACGAAAGGAGAAAACACAAAACAAAAGCAAAAAAAGCTGAAAATCAACTAAATCAAGAGAAAACAATTCCAAATCGTTAGTTTTAGCCATGAAATTTTACAGATCTTGTGTAAATGTAGCAAATTTATATCAGAAAACCCTAACCTTGAGCCCTAGATCAATTTAGATCATAGGGATTCAAACAATCTGGAAGATATACTCTTCAGAAAACCCTAATCTTGAGCCCTAGATCGATTTAGATCATAGGGATTCAAACAATCAGGAAGATATACCCTCAAATCAAGAGTAAAACAAGATTTTTCTGATCAAACAATCGAAGAATTGATGAAGATCGAAGATCCAACGCCTCGATTTCTCTCTCTTCCTAAAGTCACGCCTCTGTTCAATCAGAATAGAAGAACGCATAGCCTTGAATTGAGCCACTGTTTAAAAGAAATAACTGGCGCACAAAACGAAATGGTTTAGTTTAATTTTTTGAGAATTAGAAAAATCTAGACAGATTTCCCGACGTTTTTGAAAAACGTCATAAAAAAAACGTCATTGTATGTCTTTTTTCTTGTAGTGGAGCACTCAAGCCTTTCAAAATTTTGGGTACCAACTGTACTGACAATTTTTAGTTTGATTTGTTAGAAAAATCAAGCAAAAACAAACTAATAAGAACCGAAGAGTTTGTAGTTCTAGACCCCCAAAAGAAACAAAACTGTCCAGCGGCATTAAAAAAATTCATTTAGATGTACAAAATCCAATCATACAACTCACCACTCTTTCACATAGGATGAGACTAGATTGTCGGTTGTGTAATCGAATTCAGTCCACTTAGAATTTTTATTTTTTGGTTACTGATAGCATGAGGTAAGCTATTTATTGTAACCATAATAATTTATCCCTTCATTTAATCAATGCACTTGCTTTGCTTTTATTTCAAACCAGAGTAACTATCACAAAATTGAGATCAGTGTGTGTACCCATGATGGAAAAAGATAGGAGTAGGATCTAAAATATCTCAAAAATAATAAATATGCCAGAGATATAACTATGGTTTATACATCACAACACATTAAGTTATATAAATTGAGATATTATCTTTTCTTTTCTTTTTTATCGACAAAACAAAATTTTATTGATGGAAACATACAAAGTATGAAAAAGTACATTAATAAAAAAGAATTTGAAGGTAGCAAAAACTTCAACCTCCAGACCAACAACGAGCAAAGAAAGAAAAATCAGAAAAGCAAAAGACTTCTACATGAGCCACCAGCTGTAGAGCAAAATGGCTGCCACGTGATATGATCTTATAATCCTTCTCAAATTGTTGAATCTTATAGTGGGCTTAGTTTTCCTCCCAATTGCTAGCTTGCTTCCCAATCTTTTGAAGAACTCTCATCACTTCTTCTGTAGTCACATTGCCTGTCACTGTCACCTTATTGAGCTGGGTTTCAATGTTATAGGTTTCTATATCTGTTAACCACACACAAAAAGTGAAGAAATAAATAAATAAAAATTAAACAAAAAAAAAACAAATCTTCGAGTATATATATAGGATTATAAAAAACAATCAAAATTACAAGTGCTATACTCGTACTCTGCTCGTTTAAAATTTGTTTGACATCAAATTCTTGTGTAAATTAGTCAAATTTTAACTTGTGTTCGGCTCATTAAAAAAAAAGAGATAAAGTTACATAGATCTTGTCTTTTTCATATCCCGTTTCATAAGAGTCTCGTGTACTAAGTCACTGTTTTTATTGAGAACCATTAGTGGTTAAAACTTGACCTACAAACTTTAGGTTCAGAATTAGAACTTAAGGTCAAACGGAGCAAATTGAATGTATTAAATTGGTAAACCTCTGTTATGCTTTTTTCAATTTCTAAAAATGTGCACACAATAGCAGTTTCATAAGAGTGGTTACACTCCCGTATAAAATTGTTTCACTTAAAAATATAAACAAAAAAATAAATAAAATAAAAAATACGCCAAGCTGCTTAGATTGTAAATTTCATATAATATACGTTGTGTGTACCCAATCACTAGTACGTGTACTGTACATAGAAGTAATGTTAAAGACCATAAAAATTCTACCAAATGTCTTATATGAGTGTGGGACCTACATGAAACACACATGATATGAGTTCCACATTTATTTGAGACATTTGATAGAACTTTTAGAGTCTAGTATTTTTGTTTTGGGTAGAGATGTATCTTAAAGGGCTTCTAAAGATAAATATGAGAAGCAATCATGCAATTATACCTTCTATCTTCTTAATGGCTTTCAATATTTTCTTGATGCAGCCCTCACAGTCCAAATCCACTTTCAATTCCACCACCTAATGGCCACAAAGAACGAATAACATGGTCAAAACCATATCAAAGTAAAGCAAAAATTTAGAAAGGTAATTAACAAAGCCATGAAAAAGATCGATAATGTTGCATGCATGTTCAAGTACTTACATTACCCATTTGGAATTTGGAAAGGCAAGTTGCAAAAAACAAAGGATTGCAACTTTCAAGTTCTTGGCAAAATCAAAATTTCCCACTAAAACAAGTAGAATATGTGTGTAGTAAGTATAGTCTTCTAATAGGTGAAAAGGAAGAGGAGGGCAAGTGCTTAATATGATGCTTGGGCTCTGTGAATTCATTCATGTATTGTAAATTAACAAAGTTGTGATTGTGAGGTATTGGATTCTTTGCTTTGGAGATTTGGGAATTTTACTTTGTAAAAAGCTAGCTTTATTTTTGCCTTTGTTGACAACAGAGGATTGGCGTTCACATAGGTGGACGGCCGAGAATTACGTTCTTGTCAGATTTCGATCCGACAGAGATAGATAGTGGACTCGGATTTTTATTCAGATTGTTTATTATTATTATTATTATTATTTAAATTGTTAATTGTGTCACGAGATTTTATATTGTTTGTATTTAACTTATGAGGCTTTTTTAATCTTTTACATTTTTTATTATCCGCATTAATAATTATTATTTTAGAATTGTTATATATTAATTAAAATGATGTGGTAATAGAATTTTTTAAAATATAAATTATCTCATAGACTTTTGCTTTACAATAGAGATTTATTAGTTTTGGAAAACAAAAAAATATATATATATTTTTTTTTTTTTGGATTGGGCAGCAAGAAAATGTAGGAGAAAAGATTAATTGGAGGAATATATGAACACCCTTAAATTCATCTTTTCAGATTAAGATTAAAATACACTGTCAGTAGGCAGAGGTCTCTAAGAACTAAGAAATCATTGGTTGTTCTTGGGATATCATTACGCGATGTCCTAATAGGATTGTAATTGGTGGAGGTAGTAGGGTCTATGAATTTGTATTAGATAATTAAGAAACATAAAGAGTCATGGTGAATTGTGATTGATAAAGGATATGGCCACGTAACACCTCAGGAACAACTAATAATTTTTTGACCATCTGGACATGACGGGCTACCAAGTTTTTTCATCAATTGCTTTTAAAAATGCTCTCATCCAAACTTTCCAAAAAGAGTAATTGGATCTATCAAGTAAGGGTAGTTGAAACATAGAATTACCCTCACATGTTGAATCCATGATCACAAATCAAATAAGATCTCGCTTCTATAGCTTTGAAAAAACAAAGATTGAGCAACCCGTTCTGATACCAAATGAAAATCTTAAAAATCCCGAGATAGTGATTTGCAATCAGGATTCAATTTTAGCAATGAATAACAATCCCTAATCAAACAGAAGTAGATCTAATTCAATTAAATGAGAATTAAATTATATCTACCAAACAAATATCAACAAATCAACACAACGATATAACGTGGGAAAGAAAAAGATAAACTACCAATAGGTCAAAATAGTTAGACTAAATTCCCTTTAAGTCCTATTGAAAATAAGCCTTGGTAAAATTGTCGCTAAAAGTATTTATTTTTTTTGTAACAATTTTTTACATACGTTGCTAAAAATTGAAAATTAGTGACATTTTTTTATCATGATTTTTATAAATTATCGCTTAAACTTACAATTAGTGACATTTTTTTTTAACAAATTTTTTCCATATAACCTATTAGACAATAAGTCCACTTATTAGAACTTACACGTAAGTATCCACACAAAAAAAAAAAATCACGGGCCAAATTCACAAAATAATCCACTAAGAAGACAAAGGAATTACACACCCTCAATTACCTAACTAATTCACGCCCAAATTTAACCGAACCCGATGTGCCTCTTCCACAACCGTCTTCACTTCGAATCTACTTTGGCCAACGTTGAATCCGTAATGCCGATGTTGAAACCACGACAATGAACCACTCTAGAATCCACCAAAGCTTCAGGCTTAAGCTTCCTGGAATCCACTAATAAACATTTCTCTTTGAAATTGAATTAAACAAAAGAAATCCCTCGATGAATATTAATATGAAGTTCATTGATCCATCAATCACCCTTAAATCATCAAGGTAAACAACATATAAATACCCTCCAATATAAAAAAAAAAACTTTAGCTTCTCTTCTCTCTAAGAATTATGGACTGGTTAAACCCTAAAATGAGCAACTGAGGCACTTTATAGCAAATAGTCATGCAAAGACCGCTCAAGCGTAGGAATGACTGCTCGAGTTGTGAGACTAGTAAGGTAATGCTCTATATGTCACTTCGTTTGAGCGCAAGACTTACCGCTCTAGTTATAAAACACGATTCTCAGTATCTCTGAAATCAGACTAAGATACTGGATGATCCAAATCAATGCTCGAACGCAGAAGTTTGACCGACTCAATAACTCCTTTGCTCAGGAACAAATTAGGTTAAATTCGCATCTAAACTCTCACAAACTCACAGATACAAAAGAGCAAAAATAATTACATTTAAATAGAGTTTTATCAAATGAGATTGCCAATTACAAAATAACTCACAGGAACAACCGTTGATGTGGTAGGAATCTCAAAATAGGTATGAGAATTTTAAGACATACATCGAATAGAGAGATAGAGATTTTGAAAGCAGAAGATCTTAAGCTCAGAACAATACCTCATAATTTGGTAGAATTTTCTTAATTAAGCTTAATGGTACTTGGTAAATTTTTATGCATTACTTAATCAAATTTAATGCATAACCGTAAGTATTCTGAATACGGTGGCTAAATTTTCTTTGTGAAAGACATTGAAAGATGTTATCTAGTAGGTTTGTTCGGTTTAAAATTATCAATTTTTTGAAAGATGTTATCTAGTAGGTTTGTTCGGTTTAACTATGTCTCCTAAGATTGTGTTTGGTTTGCCTCATGATTTCAAAGGTAATATTTTCAAATCACTTTTCAAAATTTATAACCAAACACACAACTCAAAATTACTCAAATCTCAATTCAAAAATTAATTTCAAAACTCATGTTTAGGAAATTGACCCTTCCTAACCAAGATCAGTGAGACACAAAATAACAAACAAAGAAGAAAAACGAATCAAACAAGTCACACACACAAGAACATAAGGATTTACGTGGTTCATCCTAGAATAGGACTACGTCCACGGCTGCTGCGGTTTTTCACTATGATTAGAAAATACAAATCTCTCTTGTCCTAAAAGAGGCGCTCCCTCATCTATTTATAAGTATAGAATTAGGTAGGGTTACACGGAAGTACATGGGAATTATAAAAGTACCCAAATCCCCTATTGGACCCAATGTTTGAGTAAACAGTAGGGCAGAGTGAATAGTACTTATCAAGGTCCACCGATCCAACAATCTCTCACTTGGAACCTGATAACACAAGCTCTCCATTATCTCCATCACATAAAAGAACACCATAACAACTCGATCTTCCTTCATCAATCTTGAAGGCCAACTAAAGTTGCACACAACTTCAGTTTGTCAATGGTGACTATCTTGGTCAACATGTATGCTGGATTTTTATTGCCTTTGATCTTCTCAAGAGACAAGACTCCATCATCTACAAGTGAATGAATGAAATGTATCGCGGTTGAATATGTTTCGTCCAAGAATGAAAAACCGGATTCCTTGCCAGATGACTAGCACTTTGACTGTCACTATACAAAATACTCATCTCTTGCGTCTTACCCAACTCTGCTAGAAAATTCGGTAACCAACTCATCTTCTTCCCAGCTTCAGTAATAGCAACATACACAGCATATGTTGTAGAAAGGGCCACAATCTTCTATAACTGTGAAATCCAACTCACTGTTGTACCACCCAATGTGTAAACATAACCAGTAATACTCTTTCTGTTATCCATATCACCAACCAAGTCTGTATGAACATAACAATGTAACCCGATACCAGTTCGTCTGAAACAAAGTGCCATGTCTGTAGTACCACTCAAGTATCAAAGGATCCACTTCACTGCCTTCCAATGCTGTTTGCTTGGATTACTCATGTACCTACTAGCCACTCTCACTGCATGTGCAATGTCTGGTCAAGTACAAACCATAGCATACATTATGCTACCGATAGTTGAAGCATATGGAACACGTTCCATGTAAGCCTGATCTCCTTCGGTCTTCAGAGACTGCTCTTTGGTAAGTCTGAAGTGGCTAGCCAATGGAGTGTTCACTGGTTTTGCACCATCCATGCTAAACCTCTTGAGAACTTTCTTGACATACTCAGCCTGTACAACTTCAAACTACCATTTGCCTTGTCCCTGTGAATCCTCATACCAAGGATTTTGTTTGCAACTCCATAATCCTTCATCTCAAATTGGTTGGTGTAGACACTCCATTTTTTACTGCCCTTACGACTTGGGTGCCACTGATTGCGCACCCAATGATGAATTTGTATATGCTTATCAAATGCTCAAAGTCCTCAGCAGAATGCCTCAGCTTTGAGCCTCAAAACCTTGTGAACCTCTTGTCTTGTTTTTTGGACCAAAACAGCAGTTTTTCAAGCCTAAACATCATGGGACCTGCAAACCCACTAGTGTGGACTGCCGGCCATTATTGTGGACTGTCGGCCAGTAATGTGACCTGTCGTCCACTATTAGTGGCCTACCGGCTACTTGTGTGCTTTTTTAGTTATTTTTGCCAGTTGTTTCCACAGATGCATGCACCTGCCCACACGTGTCTGTATAAATATTTTTGAGGGAGTCTCATATTTTTCTTTATATAGAGGACCTCCTCTTCTATTTTTAAAGGTTAGAAAATTTTGGAGTAACATTTTTTCTCTCTCTCTCTACAATTCTCTCTCTCTCTCTCTTGCAAGTTCTTAAGCCTTTTCCTATACACTCTAAACCAAACCTTGTGGTATTTGTCCTTAGGTATTTTTGAGCTTACTTTTAGCTCTTGAGGGTATGTAGGTGTTAGTTTGCCACTCAAAAAGGGTATCCCTCTTCAAGAGATATAATTCTTGGTTTGTTTCTTTGCTTTGTTTACCATCTTTTCTAATGTTTTTTGGACTATTTTTACACTAAATTTATGGGCTAAAACTTATGGTTTAAGGCCATTAAGGGTAGAGGGGTGGATCACACTTCTTTGCACCTAACTTCTTAGGCCTTTGCCGTTGTGTTTCCTACCTTTTTATTATCTTTCTTCGAGCTTTTTACTACTGTATCTCAGAGTTTTTTCAGAGACTAAAATCATATTTTGAAGTCCCAAAAATGGAAGGGGTAGCCTCTCCTCCTTGTGCTTGTTTACTAGCTTAACTTGCTCCATGTTGTAGCTTATTGTTTTAGCTATTTTCGTCTTAAGTCTAGCACTGTTTTAGGACTA